CCCGCACAAGTCACCTGTGAGCGCAGGTGTTGGGGCCAGGAGGGGCTGCCCACACCCCCAGGACGCTGCCCTTGCTCCCCACACCCCAACCCCCTCCCTGACACCTCCCTTCTCCCTTCTCCACACCAGGTCTACTACATCAACTTCACCGATTTTGCCAGCTACGAGGTGGTGGTGGACGAGAAGCCCTTTCTGCAGTGCACTCGGAGCATCGAGACCGGCAAGACCAACTTCAACACCTGCTACACGGCCGGGGTGTGCCTGCTGAAGGCCAGGCAGAAGATCGCCGTGAAGATGGTCCACGCTGACATCTCCATCAACATGAGCAAGCACACGACTTTCTTTGGGGCCATCCGCCTGGGAGATGCACCCGCATCCTAGAGAGGAACTTGGCGTGGCCAAGGACACCCATGGAACTGCACAGTGCTGCTGTTCATAAAGCGTATCAGTATTTCAGGGGTTCTGTAATCCGGCCATAAAGGAAACTGATCCAGAGCTATTTATTCCTATATGTGAATGCAGGAAGCACAATTGTCCTCTGTGACTCGCGGGGAGACTCGGATCAAACCAAAAGCTGGTGGGGAGAGCGTTGTGACGAGGAAAGGCTGTTGGGTGTGCCTTGTCTCAGTATTTCAAGTATTACTGCACTGATACTCTGCTCTGTGACCTTCACACGAGGCTTGGTGGGAGAGCTGGGGGCTCTGCTGGGATGTTGCGCTGGCAAGAGCATCCCAGGCGGGAGCGGGAGGACACGGACTCCCGTCCCAAAATCCCAGCCAGGCTCCTGCTTGTGCACGCTAACGACAGCCAGGAAGGGGGTTCTGGCTTCCTGCCTTCCCAGGGGGAGCTGGAAGGGCCGGGGGGCGAGGGGAGGTGGGTGAGACAGGCTCAGTGGTGTTTACATTCATCCTCAGGAGGAGGAGGAGGAGGAGGAGGAGGAAAAGTGCCTCGACCTAGAGCTTGGAAGCAAAAGCAGGAAGTGCGAGAGGAAGAGGAATAACTAGAGCAGGCTTAGCAGATAGGAAACTGCCTCCACATTCCAGAAACCACCAAATCCCAAAGAAAACGCCGATTCCCAGGTCCAGGCCTCTGCTCCTTTCAGCTCCTGCCCTTACCCCAGAGGTAACCTTGCCCCAGCGGGGGCTGCCTTCAAGTACTGCTGCTGTTACAGCAAGTTGAGTTGTGGGGGTATTTTGGTTTTTTGTTTTTTTTGTTTGTTTGTTTGGGTTTTTTTTTTGGGGGGGGGGTTGATTTTGTTTTGTTCTTTTTAATTAATATTTTGCAAACCAGAACACATTTCTACAGGCTTCACCGAGCCACGTAGAGCAGCCACAAGTACTTGTGACAACACTCGGAGGAAGTTTGTTATGTTTAAGAATAAAATATTCAAACAGGAAATTTTTTTTTCTGTTTTAATAGCAACTGTCCTGATTTTAGATGCGGTTTTTAGCCTTCTTCCCCCCACCCCTTTCCTTTTGGCACCCTCCTACCTAAAATAAGTGGTGATGGAGACTTTAGCAAAGGAAAAAAAATGGGATTTTAAAATCCAGTCCAGCATGAAGTCACCACTTTTTCTTTTCTCTGAGCCCTGCTGAGTCTAGTCATGACTCGATTTCTGGTGACTAATAGAGGAGCTGGGACACTATTGTTTCTTTTGGCTTCTTGAGCAACTCTGTCCCGTTACCTCCCCTCAGCTGGGGAGACCTAAAGCCATAAGATGCTCTGGAGCTGAAGCACAGGCACAAATTGCTCTGTTGTCTCAGCCCTTGGCTCACACTTGCTCGGCTTGGTTGGGGTTTTGTTTCCCTGTGTTTCTTTCCAGAGCCTGTTTGTGCTTTCAAGAGGGGAGTGAAGTTGCAGCCTGTGTAGAAACGGGACAAATCCAGAAGTGGCATCTTCAGCCTGGAGCAGGGGAGGTTTTGGGGACCTCAGTGCCTAAAGGGGCTCCAGGGGAGCTGGAGAGACACTTGGGACAAGGGATAGAGGGACAGGACAAGGGGAAGTGATAGGGTTAGGTGGGATATAGAGATGGAATTCTTCCCTGTGAGGGTGGGCAGGCCCTGGCACAGGGTGCCCAGAGAAGCTGTGGCTGCCCCTGGATGCCCTGGAAGTGTTCAAGGCCAGGCTGGACAGGGCTTGGAGCAGCCTGGGACAGTGGAAGGCATCCCTGCCCATGGCAGGGGGTGGAACTGTTTGATCCCACAGCCCAATCCTGTGATTCCATGATTTGGTGCTGGCTCCATGCAGAGGTGGCTCACGGTCACCTGCAGGGTGTGGGAGGGACATGTCCCAGCTGTGCTGCGGCCACCGAGGGCCCGCCCTGCCTGGAGCATTCCTGGCTCCATCCCTAGCGAGTGATGTCCCTTGCCAAGTGTTGCAGTTATTGGGAGACAAAAATTCCTCGGGGCAGCGGCGTTGGCCGCGGCCTCGCTATTCACAGGAGCCGTGCACTTCGGGAAACAACTGCGTGACAAATGGGCTGCTCCAGCTTTTTAGTGGCTTCTCCTCCCTTCAGCCTCGACATGTGGGACGGGCAGGAGCCTTGGGGGCTCTTCACTGGGCTCTGTGGTTTTCTTTCCTTTCAAATGGATTAAGAGGGACATGTTCCTGTGACAAGAATGAAGCGAGACAACTGTGTGCAGTGAGAACATGAAGCAAATCGTTAACAGGACTGCTTTAGAACAGGCCTGAGCAGCAAGGCTGGGGGCAGCTGTAAATAACGGGGGTTGGGAGAGCCGGGGATGGAGTTGGCATTCCTTGTCCCCCGCTGGCAGGATCTGGGATGTGCTCCGTGGCTGCGGGCAGGGGGAGGCAGAGGGAGAATCCCTTTGCTCTGTAAAAGGCCGGAGCGTTGCTGTCCCCTCTGGTGTGTGCTCGGGGTGTTGGAGGAGAGAGCAATTCCTTGGGATGCAGGAGGAGAGCAGGAGGGAGCAATTCCTTCATGGAATGAACGTGTGAACATTTTTCTGGTGCTCACACCAACCAAAGTGTGAGTTGGAGACGTGGAATTGGAGCTGGCTGCAGGTGACCTTGGCAAACAGAGCTTTTTTCTGTTCCCGGTGGGATGTCCCTCCCCAGGCACTCCAGGAGCTCCCAGAGAAGGTCTGTACAGCCACACTGTGCTTTGTGAGGGGATAGCTCCATCCTTCACGGCTGGGGGAGAGGCACCGTCCCTGTTGGGATCAGAGCTGCTGAGGAATGCCCTGGGAATGCACAGAAGGAAGGGCAGATCCAGTGGACCTGGATAACCAGGAATCCTTCTGCTCCCAACAGCCAGGCTGGAGCCCAGCACCCACAGTGTGGATGTGACCTGGGCAGGTGCTTCTGTCCCCGCTTCCTCCACACTCCAGTCCTGCTGCTCCTTCCTCACACCCCTTGGAGACTTCTCCCACAAAATCCTTGGGGGAACGGGGAATCCCTCCAACAGACCCTGCTGGAGCCCTGGGGCCGTCGTGGAGGGCTCAGGGAGCACGGGATAGCTGGTTTCAGAGCAGATCTCTCCCTGTTCAGGCCGTGTGGTTCACTCTGCCTTTATCACGATCCAAGAAAAACCTCTCGGTGTTTGCCGGGTCTGATCCACACCCGGAGCTCCTGCGAAGGGAGTTCCCAGCCCAGGGATTCTCTGTAGAAGCCCCAGATCCAAATCAGGGACTTTTCAGCTGCTGACAGGGGCTGTGTCACCGTGCAGACCCAAGCCCAGCAGTTGGGGTGCAGGGGGACAAGCCGGGCTTCCCCGGGCGTGGCAGGGCTGGACGTGCCCAGGCTGGAGCGCCCGGGGCCGGTTCCGCTTTTGGGAGGGCTGGGGGGGTCATCCAGAGGTCGGTGTTTCCCTGGCAGGAGGAGCTCACATCTGCACAGATGTGCTGTGTGCTCACAGCTGCCTCCAGCCTCGCCCAGCCCCGGCACGGCAGGGCATCAGCCCAGAACGCTGTCCCTGGCCTGTCACCGCTGTCCTGCCTGCCCTGGATGCTGGGGACACCCGGCCAGCTCAAGGCTGAGTCACATCCTGAGGTGACAAAGTGTCCCCCACCACGGCAGCTATCAGAGGGTGAAGGGTAACTCAGATGTGTAACTGTATATATATATATATATATATACACAATTATTTTAATTATTTTCATTATTATTGTTTTCAAATTTTTCATTATTACTATTATCATTATAATTTTTATTTTATTTTATTTATTTATGTATTTATTTATTTATTTATGTATTTTATGTCTATCTATTATTTCTTTTCCCTGCCAGGCACCTCCAGGATTAGAGCATGAGCTCCGTGGCTGAAGCTTCACATCCTTGGACAACCCCTCAGCAGCCTGAGTTGCTCCTTCACATGGAATTGGCCACACTGAGCCAAAAAAAAAAAAAGAAACAAAAAACCCCAAAACTGTGCATTTTAGCGAGTGCCCGTGCCCCGTGAAGCATGAGGGGCATGTCCCCAAGGAGTGTGTCAGCACTAGGTGGCACAGGGACACGGAGATGCCACCACAAAATAAGATCCCTGTGGGTGGGGCACAGCTCCGGGTCGGGTCTGGCTGGGGAGGGAATGTCACTGCCGGGGTGTGCCAGTCGGGTGATCCCACAGCCAGGAGCTGTCCCTGGCTCAGGATGGCTGCAGAGCCATCACCAGCTGCCCCTGGTGTCCCGGGAGCTGGCACATCCTGTCCCTGGCACAGGGAAACTCCCCCAAAGCCTCTCAGCTTTCCTACGAGCCACCTCTGCCTCCTGGCATTTGATGTCACAGCGGGTCCAGCCGGCCACCTGAGCTCCCTCCTCCCCGTCCTGCCGTTTCTCTTTCCCTTCCCTGTGGCTTTGTGCCGTTTTTCCCCCTCTGCGAGCTGATGTCTTTCTTTTCCCACTTCCGTAGCTACGAACACCCACATGCCTTATCTCCTTCCCCCATCCCATCCTGAAGCCTATTTATACAGAGCCTGGCTCCTGCCCAGCCTGCCAGCGACGCCGCAGGAGCGGGACGGGGCTGGCAGCGCCCGCAGCCCAACATGCTCTGGGCTGCTCGGGGATGTTTCCTGCTCTGGCTGCTCCCGTCCATCCTCAGAGCCCGGGCTAGCCCGGAGACGAGGCCCAGCTCCCCGCTGTGCCAGCAGGTAAGGCTGTTTTCCAAGGAGCACCTGGGCTGGGATGGCTCCAGCAGCGTGGCTGGGGCTGCCAGCATCCCTCTGGATCTGGATCTCCTCCCTGTGGCTCTCACCTCCCTCCAGCCCCCGTCTCTTTAACTTTCACAGCTTTTCCTCTGTTCTCCTGCCTTGGAGCTGGTCTCCTGTGAGGTGGTCCCTGGCATCCAGCTGCTCCCACGTCCCTGCCATGCCTGAGGTGCTCAGAGGAGGGGGTGCAGGGATTCCAGTGAGGCTTGGATGGGGAACAGCAGGTTTCTGTCACCCCAGAAAGAAATCAGCTGCTCCCCATCCAGGTTCCAACTTCAGAGGAAACATGAGTGAGGGGAGAGCTGGAGCCTACACAGCACCCCTTCCTCTGCCTAAACAGGGATGCTCTGGACCAGCTGGGCTTGGGAAGGGGTAGCAGTGCTCATTCCCACTTCTCATGCCCATCTTGGACAGCAGCTGGCTGGCCTGGAGCTGTGGTTGTAGCCTCCCCCCCATTCACACCTCTCCTGTCTCTCCACAGAGCCCCACGAAAGTGTCTTGCAAAGGAGTTGGCCTGCGGAAATTTCCCAAGGAGCTTGGCCAAGGAATTAAGTACCTTGAACTCTCCAACAACTTCATCCAAACCCTGTCAGGCAGCAACATGCCAGGATTTGGGCAGCTGGAGTACCTGGATGTGTGCTTCAACCAGCTGGAAGCTGTATCAGCCACCGCCCTGGCTCAGCTGCCTCGGCTGCGCTCGCTCCTCCTGGGATCGAACCGCCTGGACCGGAATTACTTGGCTAACGGGGAAGCTTTCCATCTGCTCAGGAATATAGAGGTCCTGGACCTGTCTGTGAATAACCTGGAGAGCCACATGGCCAGCTGGTACATCAGCAACCTCACCAGCCTGCGGGTGCTGGATCTCTCAGGGAACACGATGACCAAGCTCCTGGCAGGGACCTTCCGGAACTCACCGCGGCTGCGCCAGCTCGACCTCAGCAACAACTACATCATGGAGATCCAGGAGGGAGCTTTTGAGCCTCTGGAAGAGCTGGAGGTGCTGAACTTGGCTTTGAATTCCCTCCACTGTGTCTCTGGCTTCAGCCTCACGCAGCTGCGAGTTTTAAACCTCAGCCACAACGCCCTGGAGCTCTTCTCCTCTGAGGAGGAGGGAGCAGAGCCCTACCTGCTCCGAGTGCTTGACTTGAGCCATAACAGACTCCTCTCTTTTCCAGAGCTCCCCAGAGCCCATGATCTCACACACTTAAACCTTTCCAGCAACCTCATTGCTTCCCTGCTCCCAGGCTCACCCCATCCCAGGGAGTTTGTCCTGCTCTACAAGGAGATGCAGAGGTTCAACAGGACCGTGCGTCCTGTGGCCGCTCTGACACACGTGGCTGACCTGGATCTCAGCAATAACCGCCTGGAGCTGTTCCCATTTTCCTTCTTCCACAGCCTGGGCTCCCTGCACAGCCTCAGCCTGGCAAGGAACTGTCTCCAGGACGTGGCCAGGGAGTCTGCCTCCAATGGCACGGAGCTGTCCGTGCACTGGCTGGACCTCCAAAGCAACGCCCTCCGTGTGCTGCCACGCTGGTTCTTCGATTCCCTGCCTCACCTGGAATCCATGGATCTGAGCTCCAACAGCCTCCAGCCTTGTGAGAGCCAAGGGAGTGACCAGGGAAGGGATTTGGGAGGGGATTCTCACACGTCAGCCTCCGGAGACACCTGCACCCCCTTCTACAACGTACCTCACCTGAAGCACCTGAGCCTGTCCAAGAACAACATCTCCAGGCTGCAGCCCCACGCCTTCAACCGGACCCCGCTGCTCTCCCTGGACCTGTCTGGAAACAGGGACTTGTCCATGCCCATGGGAGCGCTGGGGGGGTTGGAGCTGTCCCTGCAGGAGCTCTCTCTGAGGGACAACCAGATGGACGAGGGCCAAGCAGCGCTGCCCTGCCTGGGCACTCTCCGAGTGCTGGACCTGTCGGGCAACCACCTGAGCCTGCTGCCCACGGGGCTCTCCTGCTCCCCGCTGGAGAGCCTGGACATTCGGAATAACCACCTGCAGAGCTTGGGAACAGCTGGGAGCTGGTCCCACAGCCTGAGGGCAGTGTTGGTGGCTGGGAACCCCTGGAGCTGCTGCTCTCTGGGCTGGCTGGACACGCTGCGTGTGGCCGGCGTGGCCGTGCCGGACCTGCCCCAAGCCCGCTGTGTCTTCCAGGAGCACAGCCAGAACATCTCGGCCAGGATCACCGGCACTCCCCGCTGGATCTGTCCCCAGTCCGAGGCCACTGCCTCCCTGGCTCTGCTCGTGGCCCTGGTGAGCCTTTCCCTCCTCGCTGCCTGGGCTTTCTGCCTCCTGAGGAAAGGGCGGAAGGCTCCGGGATGTGCGGGACTCGGGAGCAACAGGGTGGGAGTCTTCCAGCCCCATCCCAAAGGAAAGGAGCCAGCTGAGGAGAGGCCAGCTGACAGCATCACCCAAGTATAGCCCAGACCTGCAGCCATCGGTCAGAACTCTAATTATTATTAATAGTATTAATATTAATAATATTATTGTGGTTTAGGTCTCCCTGGTACCTGTGTGATTTGTGAACCCAGTGACAGGAGCGTGGTGGGTGCTGGGCTCTGAGCCACCTCCCCTTCTCCTGAAAGGAGATTCCCACATCCTCTCTGATCCCTGCCAGAAGTTAAACATGGAATTTGGGGTGCCATCACACATTCCCACTACTGGGAAACCAAGCCCTGGGCTGGCTGCATTGAGCACCCCCCTTCCCCCACATCACACTCAGCTGGATGGGAATTGTCTCCTTTGGGGCCACCTGGGTGTTTCCCAGCTTGCCCAGCAGCCCCTTTAAGAAGGTTTAATAGCTCTCCTGAAGCATTCCCAGATCCAGGGAGAAGCAGGAGGGAATGGGAGTGGTGCTTGCTGGTGGCTGGCAGTGCCAGGGTGGGGAGGGGGTTTCTGTGGAACCATGCTCACCTCACTGTGCCTTTCCTTGCTGCGGATGCTGGGAGAAGTTCCACCCTGTCCTCAGCCACTGGGATAGTGGGAATGGGAGAACTGGGGGTCTGTGCTGTCCCTGGCTGGCACAAGGTGTCCCACCTGCAGTGCCAGGACCCCCGAGGTGAGGGTGGCAGAGACAGCTGGTCCCAGCATGACGTAAATGCTGCCCAAGTCATGGTCCTGGAGGGGTTTGGCACCCTCTGAGCACCCCCCAAAGCCAGGGGTGATCCTGGGGCTCAGACCCCAGCTCAGGAAGGCAGCAGGAAGAGGTGTTGAGTGGGATTGTCTCTGTGTGGTGGTGTCCATCTCTCCCTTGAGTGACCTGTCCAGCTTCCCAGGGCAGAGTGGGAGCACCTGACAGGCTGGGCCAGCTCCAGGAAGTATAAAACTGAGGCTGCAGTGAAACCTTAAACGTTTCACACCCATTTGGTTCCACCTTGGAAGTCCCCAGCTGGGTCCAGTCACCTCCACACACCTGGTGGGTTGGCTCTGTGGGAACAAAAAGGCTTGGAAGTTACTTAAAATCCCAACTGCTTCATTTTCTTCCTTTTTTTTTTTTTTTCCTCTCAAGCTTATCATGGTTTTACTGGGAAGCAAAAAGGGCATTTTTGGTGTAAAATATGTCAGGGCTTCAGCTTCCTGTACTGGGAATAGAGCTCTAGGACCCCTGGTGACTTTGGTGGCTCCCACATTTCCACCCCTGCCTCAGTTTCCCTCTGATGCAGAGCCCTGCCACAGCAAGTGGCTGTGGCAGAGGCGCCTGTCACTGTGTGTCACCACCCTGTAGGACCCTGGGGACAGGAGGAAACCCATCCTCCCCCTCCAGGGCTGCTGTTTGCTGGATCTCCTGCTCCCACACACCCCCTTCCCCTTGGAGCTCCTGTCCCCCTCAGGTCATGACCCCCATGCCACAGCCACCACAACCCTTGTCCTCTCCCATCCCGCTGCTTCCCAGCTCCATCCCCAGTGCTGTCCCCAGCTGCTGTCCCTGGGGAGCCGGGCTCTGGGCATGGAGTGTCCCAGCAGCTGCTGTGCCCACCTGGGGCTTCTCCCCAGCACTGTCCCCTGTGCTTGGGTGACACCTGAGCTCCCTGGGGCAGGGATTTGCTTTCCCGGTGTCCACGGATGAGTTCAGACTGTCCCTGGGGCAGGGATTTGCTTTCCCGGTGTCCCCAGGTGAGTTCAGACTGTCCCTGGGGCAGGGATTTGCTTTCCCGGTGTCCCCAGGTGAGTTCAGACTGTCCCTGGGGCAGGGATTTGCTTTTCCAGGTGGGTGAGCTCAGCCCCGATGCCGTGCCAGCCTCCTGCCCCAGCGCTCGGTGACATTGCAGGGACACTTCAGGTCCCCGAGTGCCTTCACTGGGTGTTTCTGGTGCATTTTTGCGGCCTCTGCTCCTCGTCTTACCCCTTCCCAGGCTGTGCTTCCCACTCGTGGCCCCGGGAGATGTCCTGGCTTTGTGCTGCTGCTCCCACCAGCATCTTCCTCGCTTCGAGCTGGGAGCTGGGGCCGGGCGGGGACACTGGGGCCGGGCGGGGACACCACGTACCACCGGGTGCTCAGGGACACCATGTGCTGCCGGCACCCGGTGCCAGGCGCTGCCTCGGGCATCCTGAGTGTCCCCAGCCGTGTTTATCCAGTGTCGTGTCCCCGCGGAGCAGCAGCTGGCAGGGGTTGACCCCTTCAGGGCAGTGGCACTTGGGGACAGCGGCTGCTGGTCCTGAAGTTTCTCTGGGGATTGAAGCATCTGCTGGAAAATGCATTAAAAACAGGGCAGGGAGAATCCTGGGGCTGGTTTTAACCCACAGGAAAAGCTCCCAAATAACAGGACTGGATCTCGGAGGGTTTTTCCAACCCTAAGGATTCTGTAAAGCCCAGGGGAAGGAGGGAGAACTTCCCAGGCTAAGAGGAGGCTGTGAAGGTGTGGAAAATGAGCCAGGGCAATGGTGTTGGGTTATCACCATTGCTGATGTACGTGTGCGTCCCTGACTCAAAGGAAAATGGGATTCCAGGTTGTGCTCTGGTGGAAGGATTGAATCCAAGAGCAATGTCCCCTTCTTCCAGCCCCAGGAACAGCTTGGCCAGGAGCATGACATGGGGTGAGCCTGTGCTGGCCCAGGGGACAGTGGGGTGGCACCAGACCACGTTTGTGTCCCCAGAACCAGCACGAGGCCAAGAGAAACCCAGAGTCTGTTCTGAGTTCTGCACTGCTCCTCATCCGGAGCTTCCCGTGCTTTAGGGGAAATGGTTTCCCTATCCCAGGCGTGTCTTGGCATCTCCAGTGCTTTCTTGATCCAGAAGGAGGGCAAAAGATCTGTAGAATATTAAATTTTGAACAAATAAAGCGGCGATGCCAAAAATGTTGCATTTTCATGTCAGGCTGGAAGGCGGCAGGAGTGTAAATTTTGGTCTGACAAAAAAAAGCAGCAGTGATTAAAATGTTGTGACCATTGACAAATTTTCTAGAGAACTGGTTGAGAAATCCAGCGAAACTCATTCTTTCCAGTGGAAAGCTTTCACATTTCCCTGGATCTGCATTTTCAAAGAAGAGGAGATTTTTATCAAGAATTTCCACCGAGCTGTTTCACTAACCCAGGTGGAAATTACCTTCCCTCAACTCACTTCAATTACAGCAGTTTTTCTTTTCCCCTTTTTCTCCTATTTTTTTTTCTTTTTTCCCCCCTTTTTTTCATGGTCCAGAGCTTCATCTGCTGCAGGAGCTGAAGGATATCCCGGGAAGTGCCTGGCAGATCCCTCTCCTCAGGCCACCCCAGCCAGGCAGAAAGAGGCAAGGAGAGCGTTTCTCCTCCTCTGTGCTCAGACAGAGCCTAAATTAACCTAAATCTCCCCAGTCCTGATAAGATAACGAGTCCTTTCACCCAGCTGAAGATAAATCCCCTTCCAGAGGGCTGCTGGAGGTACCATTTCTTTTATTTTCCCTGATATTGCTGCAGTGCCCATTCCCAAATCCTTTTGATCTCATCGAGGCACATCCTCGTGCCATGTTCTGGCTGCCTGGGATGTGCTCCTGGTGAATGTGGCGCTTTCTCTGTGGCTTTGGGATGGGACAAGAGGCTGGTGGCACCTCCAGGACACCGCCCTGTGTCTCTCCCATCCTTCGGGCTGCTTCCCATTATCCCTTCCTGCCACAGCTCCGTGACTGGCACAGCTCCCCTGGCAGCTCTTCCCAGCCCGGGCGTGTCGTTCATGCCACTTTTGCTCCTCTGCTGGAGCCGTGGCCGGGCTGGGATCTCCATCTCGGGGAGTGGCGGATGTGGAACATGTCACCCCAGGTCCCTGCTGCCTTGCAGAGCCCTCTGCAGCGTCACCTCCCCGGCTGGGGGGACAGATGCTGCCACATGTTCTGCAGCTGGATCCTCCCTGCCAGCTGTGCCAGCTGTGCCTGGGCTGCCTGCACAGGGACACGGGCACAGGGGGAGGCGTCACCCCGTGTCGTGTCCTCACCGCTGATGCAGATCTGCTGTCCCCATTCCCAGATTTGGGACGCTGCGGGGTCGGGTGACACTGGGAGGTGGCTCTGCAGGATCAGGTCCCTGCCACCCCCACTCGGTGCTCTCTGGGAAGAGGAAGAGGATGGTTTCCCTGAGCTCCGTGGCAGGAAGGGCTCCTGCCACCCGGGGTGACCGTCCCACTGTCCCCAGCCTCTAGAGGGGACGGGATGCTCCCAGTGTCCACCAGCACAGGAATCTCATCCCCAGCCCCTGGTCTGTGCCAGGAGCTGGAACACCAGTGCCACACAACCACGTGCCACCAGCCCCTGTGTCACTGTCACCACACTGGCACAGCCCCAAAGGGATGTGGCTCCCCTCAGGGCCGGTCAGTAGGTGAGAGTGGGGTGGGGAACCGGGGCCACCGGGGCCTGAGGGGACACTTTGATAGCAGGGAAACCCTGGGAAGGTCCCTGGATCTGCCCCTCCTGAGCCTGGGAGCTGGGCCAGTGCACGGGGACCCCGTGTGCTCACACGGGTCACAAACCACTCACAGGTGTTTGCTTTGGCCCCATCCGAGTCCCAGGAGTGAGGGACACCAACCTTTGGCCCTCTAGGACAACTCTTTGCTGTTCCTCCACTAAAGCCTCATCCCTGGAGCTCTGACCCAGCCCCAGCTCTGCCCCTTTAGCCCCTTCTGGAGCTGTCCCCTCCCTGTGTCCCCAGGGTGACCGACACCAGGCAGGGGGGACGGACCTCTCCCGATGTTCTCCCGGCTCCTTTGGTCTCCCCACTGCCAGTGAAGCCCCAGCTGGGGAAGGGAAGCCTCTCCTGGGCTGGGAATCCCCTCCTGCCTCGCTCCTTCCCTCAGGGCCAGCCCAGCTTGGAAGGGGAAGGAAGGGGTATTTTTAGCACTCACCCTCCAGTTGTTCCAAGGATTGAGCTAAAAAGAGGAATTGACGTTCAAAGGAGGGCTGGCTTTGCTTTAAAAGGAAAGGTTTGTGTTTTTCCTGCTACTCAGTTATTGCAAGATTTTCCTGTGAAGAGGGGTTGGTAAAAATACCTCTGGTGGGAGGTGGCAGCCTGTGACATTGGTGCACAGTTCCCTGTGCTGGCCCTGCTTCCCTTGCCCAGTTCCCAGGGTGAATTCCCATCCCAAAGGAAGGGATGGGGTCGGACTCAGGCCCCTGTCCTGGTGCTGATCACAGCTCCCATCACCTTTGAAGGGAATTCCCTCCTGCCAGCCCATCCTGGAGTGGTTCCTCTGCATTCCTGCCCTCCAGCACCTTTTCCTGACCCTTAGGACCCCCCTGGAAACTCAGGTGCCTTCCCAGCTGCCATCCAACCCCAGCATTGTCCTGGAAACCCCCTGGAGACCCTCCAAGTCCCAAAACAAGACACCATCCACACCCTGAGGAGGAGTTTAGCTGGAAGCCACAAGGGAAGGAATCCAAGACACCAGCTTTGGTGTTTAGGGAATACAGACTTGGGTTATCCCTGTGCTCCTCCTTTTCTCTCAGCCATTTAACCAATCCCCTGGTAACTGCTTGGGATTCAGGAATGACCTGGGACCCTTCCTCCCCCTTTGCATCCCGAGGGAATCGTTTGGGAAGGACGACTCGAGCCGCGTGTCCTGGTTTTATTGCGTGTGATCCCAAATCAAAGGAAGGTCACAAGGGGACAAAGCTCAACCATCCAGGCACGTCCTGTCAAGGTGAGAGGTCACAGGGGGGTGACAAGCAACCCCCAGCTTGGTTCTGTCAAGGAAAAGCACCTTCCAGAGAGAGGGGAAGTGGCACAGCCAGGGAGAAAGTGAAAGCCTAAAAAGTGGGTTTCAACCTGTGACCCTTTCCAAAAACCTGGGGTCAGCTGGGCTTGTGTCAAATGTCACTTCCCAGCGTGGGAAAATCCCGGCCTACCTGGTTCCTCACGGGCTCCCAGCAGCACTTTTGGTTTTGTACTTGTAGGAGGGAGAGATCCCGAGAAATGCATCTTGTGACCAGCCCTGGTGCCCTGCCACGGCACCTTGGGCAGCCCCTGCTGGCACTTCGGGGCTGGTGCCTGTGCCAGCTCAGGGATGTGCACTCCTCTGGGTCAAGGAAAATGTGCTTTTTCAATCTTTTTGTAAAGAAAACAAGAAAAAAAAAAAAAATATGAGCCTGTGCTGACCCTAAAGGAGGGTGCAGACGGGGGCAGGCTCTGTTCCTAGGGGACAAGAGACAGGACAGGAGGACACAGCCTCCAGCTATGCCAGGGGAGATTTAATTGGATATTAGGGAAAATTTCTCATGGAAAGGGCTGCCCGGGGCAGTGGTGGAGTCACATCCCTGCAGGGATTTAAAATCCACGTGAACGTGGCACTGTGGGGACATGGTCAGTGGTGGCCTTGGCAGTGCTGGGGGAAGCGGCTCATCCCTCAACCCCCTCCCGGGCGCTGTTTGGGGACGGTCACTGCTAATGACAGCTGGACCTCCCTCCAGCCCCTCCTTGTCCCTAACCCTGTGAATGGCACCGAAACCGCCTTTGTTCCCCTCGCCGGGGGGCAGGACCCGCCACCACCTCTGCTATAAAAGGGGTGGTGGGGCCGAGCGGTCCCAGCCCTGCTCCCAGTCCCTGTCCCAGCCCCATCCCAGCCCCATTCCCGGCCATGGGCCGCCCCGCCGCCGCTGCCACCGCGCTGCTGTGCCAGCTGGGCCTCTCCGCAGCCATCCAGTGGCTGTGAGTAGGGAACCTCTCCCTCCAGAGCCCCTCCTGGCGGTCCCTCGGGGCGCTGTGGCCCCCCCCGGTGACCCCAGCTCTCCCCACAGCGGGCTGGCAGACAGCGGCGTGGCCTGGAACGAGAGCCAGCACTGCCGGCTGCTGCTGCCGGAGCAGCTGCAGCTGTGCCGCCGGCACCTGGAGGTGATGCCCAGCATCGTCCGGGCTGCCCGCCGGACGCAGGAGCTGTGCCAGCAGAGCTTTGCAGACATGAGGTGGAACTGCTCCTCCATCCGGCGTGCCCCCAGCTTCGGCCCGGAGCTGCTCACAGGTAAGGGATGCTCCTCCCGCAGAGTCGCTGCTGCCGCTCTGCCCCGGGAGCATCCCGGGCTGGCGGGGTCTCCTCTGCCCTGGGTTTTCTGTTTTGGGGTAAATATCCTGCCTTCACGTGGTGCTAATCCTGTGCAAGCTCCACCTGGGGGAGGTGACAGACAAGTAAGTTCCATTTCAAACAGCTGCCAGAGGCTCCAAAAGAAAGAGGGGAAGAGGTGGGGATAGGGGCAGGTTGATACAGGGAGCACAGGTTAAAAAGCAAAACTTGAGAGGCCTTGGGTTCGTCCTGCTGCAAGACGAAATAAAAACTCCTGGAGCGGTGAGATGTGCCAGAGAAGAGTCCGGCTGGGCAGGGAGGAAGGAAATATTCCTGTTTTCTCCGCAGGAACACGGGAAGCCGCCTTCGTGCACGCCCTGGCAGCGGCGGCCGTGGCCCAGGGCATCGCTCGCTCCTGCTCCTCCGGAGAGCTCCCGCTGTGCTCCTGCGGCCCCGGCCCCTCCGAGCCCCCCGTGCCCGGCTCCCGCTGGGGCGGCTGCGGCGACAACCTGAGCCACGGCCTCCAGCTCGGAGCTGCCTTCACCGAGGGCTCCGGCAGAGCCGGCACCGGCGGCACGCCCGGGCTCAGGGCCGTGAACCGGCACAACGGAGCCGTGGGACGGGCGGTGCGTGCGGGACCCCGGGGCTCTGCAGGCTGGGATGGGGGATGCGGAGCCCACCGGGGCTGCTGAGGTCTGGGATGGGGTGTGTGAGCCCGCTGGGACTCTGCAGTGGGGCACACAGTGGGTCTGAGCCCCCTGGGATAGATGGAGCCCGGCACCCCTCGCAGCAGAGGCAGAGGTCCCTCGTTTAAGGCAGCAGGTGCCAGACAGGTTTTTGGGATGTCCTGAACATGAGGAGGCAACAAAATGGTTAAGAAGTGTGTGAGCGGGCACACACACACACACACTGCTGCCCGCCCCCAGCCATCCCACACCCCTTCCACAGCCAGCACTTCTGACACTTCACACCAGTGTTCCCAGTTATCTGATATTTCACACCAGTACTCCCCGTGCTTCTTTCCACCCTTCTCACTGGAAACAGGGCTTGTCCTGCCCTGCTCTGGCTGGGCTCCCCAGCCCATCCAGTCTTCGATTTTCCATCCACTCCTATTCTCCAAGTGAGGCTTGGGAAGCCTCCAGCCCCTCTGCCAGCTCCCCTGGGAAGTTCCCCAAGGATCAGGTTCTCATCAGAAGGGATTGAAGCAGGGCTGAGCCCCTGATTGCCCCGTTATATCCAGCTCTGAGCTCCCTTGAGACTTCCCACGGGTGCCCTTGGGAGTCAGTCCCTGGGGTGGTACCAGGAGAGATCAAACTCAGCTGTTTCCCTGTGCTCTGCAGGTGCTCAGTGACTCCCTGGATACCAGGTGTAAATGCCACGGGGTTTCAGGCTCCTGCTCAGTGAAGACCTGCTGGAAAGGGCTGCCAGACCTGGGCGAAATCGCCTCTGACCTCAAATCCAGGTACCTGGCAGCCCTCAAGGTGACCCATCGGCTCGTGGGGCCCAGGAAGCAGCTGATTGCCAAGGAAGGGGATGCCAGGCCAGTGACAGAGATGGATCTGGTTTATCTCATCAACTCTCCTGACTACTGCACCCCAAACCCCCAGCTGGGTTCTCTGGGGACACAGGACAGGTAGGAAGAGCTCATCCTCTGATTCCAGGAGTGCCTGTACTGCTGGGTTTTAGTGTCCTGGGAAGCTGATGTGGATGGGCTGGGGTGAGCTTGCAGCAGATCCCTGAATCCCTGTCTTGTGATACCCCACCTGCTCTGCTGCACCCAGGTCAGGCCCCCAGCACGAGACAGGCATTGTTCAACAAGGCCATGTCTGGCCATGGAGCTGCTCTGAGGGCTGGAGCCTCTCTGCTCTGGGGCCAGGCTGGGAGAGCTGGGGGTGCTCACCTGGAGAAGAGGAGGCCCCAGGGAGACCTCAGAGCCCCCTCCAGTGCCTGAAGGGGCTCCAGGAGAGCTGGAGAGGTACTTTGGACAAGGGATGGGACAGGACACAGGGAATGGCTTCCCACTAATGGGGTTAGATGGGATATTGGGAAGGAATTCTTCCCTGTGAGGGTGGGGAGGGCCCAGCACAGGGTGCCCAGAGAAGCTGTGGAATGGACACATCCCTGGAAGTGTTCAAGGCCGGGCTGGATGGGGTTTGAAGCAGTCTGGACCTGTGGAAGATGTCCCTGCCCCTGGCAGGGAGTGGCACAGGATGATCTTTAAGGTCCCTTCCGACCCAGCCGTTCCATGATTCCATGATCCTGCTCTGAGCACAGCACCTCTGTGAGAGGCCAGGGCCTGGGAGGGCTGGTCCCCAGCTCCCCCATCTCTCTACAGGCCGTGCAACAGGAGCTCTGTGGGCAGTGACAGCTGTGACCTGCTGTGCTGTGGCCGTGGCTACAACACCTACACGGAGGAGGTGCAGGAGCGCTGCCACTGCCGCTACCGCTGGTGCTGCTCCGTGGTGTGCAGGCGCTGCCGGCGCAGCCTGCAGAGACACGTCTGCAAATAAGGAGGAGAAGCCGTGCTGGCACCCACCAGGCATGGCTGGACACCAGGAGCCTGTCCCAAGGGATGCCCCCAGCAAGGAGGAGGCCGTGCAGGAAGCCTGGTCTCTCATGGAGAGCCTCAGACTGAGAGATTTTGGGAAGTCCTTTCCAACCCAGACCTCATGGCAGGACAAAGAGCTGCCCTCCTGCAGCTGGTCAGTGGCCAGCCCTTTGTCTCCAGCTGGGAAAAGCCATTGATCATTCCACAGGCCCCTTTCTCCAGGGAGAATGGGGACCCTGGGCTGCCATTGTCCCTTTGCAGGAGGATTCTGACAGCAGCCTGAAAGCCAGGAGTGATGGATGGAAGGGGTAGAGTTATCCACTGGGAGAAGGCTGCAGGGATGAAACGCTGCTGCTTCGGGTGAGGGGTCATGGGCAGCTCCTTTGGGAACAGGATTCTACTGTGGGCTCATCCAGGATGCTCCTCCTCAGGGGAAAACACTGCTCCAGGGCCCTTGGCAGCATCCCAGTGGAGACCATTTGCATGGAGATGCTGCTGCTCTCATTGATGGCAGAGACACCAGGGACAGGAGAGCTGCTGGGGGCTGCCAAAACTGGGCAGCCTGGCAAAGCCACCCCTGACTGTGTGTTCACAACCCAGCCACGGCACCTTCTGTCCCCATGTCAGGGGTGGGAGCCCACCCAATACCTGAAATTCTCATGGCTTGTCCCTCCTGCCCCTCCTCCTGGCCCACTGAGGTCTTCAGCCATTCCTTCCACCCTTTGGGACCAGGTGTGTTGGAATTCTGGCCTGGAGAGGGGACACAACTCCAGAGCCTTGGGGAAGCAAGAAATAACCTTTAATTTCTGTACTTCCTGTAAGGGGGATTCTGGTGTGTGTTTTTAAATAAATGTTTTTTACTCTCTGTGCCTTGTTTTCTAGCACAATCTTTCCTCCAGGTCCTGGAGAAAGAGGCTGTAAGGAGAGCCTTCTGTCCATAAAGCCCTGTGTCCACACTTTTCCTTTCACACATCTGAGGATCAGCTCAATTTCAACTCTTTCTGCTTCTCACTGGCTCAGATTTGCCTTTAATTACAGATCCCTGCCTTCCTCTGCTGCTGTTTTATCCCCTGCTTCCTCAGGTCTCCGGCTGCCTGGGATTCAGGGCTGGTGCTGGAAACTGTGACAGTCCAGGGTTATTTTCTGATCCTTGGGAATGTGGGCTGGATGAGCCAAGGGTGTGTGTGAACAGCAAGGGGTTGGGAGCCAGGGATGGGGTCTCCCACACTGCCTTTAGCAGAGAATCTGGCCAAGAGCTTGGATGGGATGAGATCCCTGCTGGAGCAGCCTTTGGAGGGAAAGGATGAGTCCAAACAGGTGCTGGAGAGACTCCACAGCATCAGGAGGACAGGTAAATGGGATGGGAATCCTCGGGTGGATTCCTGCAGCTCCCAGCATTGCCTGGAGGCTCCAGCAGCTCCGCTTTATTTTCGGTTCCCATTGACTGGAGCTGGCCGCGCTCAGCCCGAGCCCAGCTGGACGATTACTCATTTCCATATCTATTCCATCATTTTTAATGGTCTCTGCTGGGTCACGGAACCAATTCACGAGTTTTTCTCGTAAAACATCCCCTCGCCTTAATGTGCTCCAGGTTTCTGTGAGGGCAGGGGAGGAATCAGAGGTGGCTGGAGAGGATGCAGGGGCTGGAAGTTGAGCTCGGGGAGTGCCAGGAGGGAGTTAACTCTCGTTATCAGTTGTAGATGTGCCATCGACTGGCTCTGCCTGCTGCCATCTCCCTCCCAGGAGCGCCTGGAAAACCGCAGCTGCCCAAGGCCAGAAGCTATCTCGAGTTTTCCTTTTAAAATGCAATTAGGGGTCAGAGCCCGGCATTCCTCAGAAAAAGGAGTTTCAGCTGCCAGGCTGCAAAACAGCCGCAGTTTCTTAGTCCGGAGGGCTGCAGGTACTAAATTAGAATTGCTTCAATGCCCTCCCTCCATCCACCTCCCAGCGCATCCCAGATCACAGGGAGGTGACACCGGGAGGGGCTGCGAACTCCGCCTGCATTGCAAAAGGAGCTGGTGAGAGGAAAAAAAATCCGGGAAGGATCTTGTGGAGTGAGAACTCCAGCCAGGAGGGTGGGAAATGTGATTTGCATTTGGTAACTACAAACACGCATCGCCTGAGGGAGAGGAGAGGAGAGGAGCCACAATGGCAAGGAATGCCCAGGGGAGCTGTCGGCATCTCTGCTAGAGAGGTCCCGTTGGAATTTCTGCCTGGGACAAGGCAGGGTCAAGTGCTGAATATGCAGAATCCACTCCTCCTCTCCCTCCTTGACTCCAAGCCCGGCAGGGAAGAGCTGGGAAAAGACTGGAGGGGTCCCCGTGCAGCCGGAATCCTGCGGGAAACTGGAAGGCGCCGGAATTAGTTGGAGAGTGCAAAGGGTCAGGCTGGCAGGGGGTGACAGCTCTGTGACAACGCTCCCAGTGGGAGCTGCTGAAATCCGGGCCCACACCTGGAATTGGCAGGGATGTGAGATCTGCAGGGCTGGGAGCATCCCCCGGGAACCGGGAGCCAGAGGATGGATGCAGTGGGAATGATCCCAGGGCTTGTCCCCAGGGGTTTTAAGGGAGTAACGTTGGTGTGAACGCGGTTATTTGTTGCTGGTCAAACTTGTGCAAACAATAAAGTCTGGAGAAAGGCGAGTGATTTTCATGGATTCTTTTTATTTTGCTGTTAAAACACTGATTTATTTATTTTCCCTTTTATTTCCTTATTCATTGAGGGATGCTGCATAACTCATTCCAGGAGGGTAATGCGAGCAAGGGTTGGTAATTAAACATTTTGGAGGAAGGATGGCTCTGTGTTAAGGATCTGTTGGGACATTTCTTCTGCACAGCTCCCACTGGAATGTGGATCAGGACCTGCACCTGCTTTTCCTTGTGCTGCTCCCAGAGCTGAGCCAGAAGGAGGAGAAAGCCCAGGATGGGGCTCAGCTGTGGATGGACATCTCACAGAATCAGGGAATCCTGGAATGCTGTGGGTTGAAGGGACCTTACAACTCATCCAGTTCCACCTCCTGGCATGAGCAGGGAACCTTCTCCTACCCCAGGATGCTCCAAGCCCTGTCCAACCTGCACTGCTGGGAATATTTGGGGGATGTTGCTGTGACCTTTGGGATGGTTGGTCCGTGCACCCTCACACCACAAGACACACGCATGAGTAAACGCCTGTATTTAAGGAAAAACCCTTCCCTCTCTGTTCTCCTTTATTCCTGGGGTGTTCAGCAGTGTCATGGTGCTCGAAGGATGACAAACAAAAGCAGGGATTGTCCGTGTGGGGATCTTCAGCTGAGAGACAGGGACAAACAGGGGTGAGTAAGAGCCATAAGATCCGAGGGGGACCCAGCTGCAGCCTGAGGAATTTGGGGTGTAGCTGGAAGGTCAGTTCTGGCAGGGCTGTGGGGGGCTTGGAGGGAAAGCAGCTCTCCATCCCTTGGAATCATGGAATTCTTGGATGGTTTGGTAGAAGGGACCTTAAAGCCCATCTTGTTCCATCCTCTGCCATGGGCAGGGACACCTTCCTCTATCCCAGGTTGCTCCAAGCCCTGTCCAACCTGGCCTTGGACACTTCCAGGGATCCAGGGGCAGCCACAGCTTCTCTGGGAAATCCATTCCAGGGCCTCCACATCCCCAAGGGAAGGATTTGATTTCTCCCAGGCTGGGCAGCCATTCCAGCAGGAAGGGAGCCTGGGGACTCTCTCCTCTGCAGAGCAGACACTGATGTGGCCATGAGCCACCCCAGTGCTGCCATCCCGCTGGGAATATCCAGGAGATCCTCCCATCAGCCCAGACCTGGGGCCAGACAGGTTTTGAGGACCGGGCTCTGTGAGTAACAATTCATGGCACAATCTGACTCAGGCAAGAGGAAAACAAACAGAATAAATCATAAATGGAGTCATCCTCAGAGGCTGAGTTAGAATTACTCAGGAGTAATGAGCAGTAGTAGTGGTTGCTACATCCATACTTTGCTCACAGACAGGTCACTCACCTGTATTTCTAAGGGAAATAACCTGCTCCTAAAAGCACAGATTTAACCCTAAACTGCCTGATGCCTGGTTGAATTTTAGAGATTTTAGGAGTGAAATAAATAAAGGGGAGGGTAAGAAAAAAAAAAAAAAAGAAAGAAAAAAAAAGAGAAAGGTGCATGTCCCACTTATAGAAAAATCAGAGAATAGGAAGGTGCTGTGCTTAAATAAATTGATATTTATTGACATCCAGTACTGTGCTATCGGGGATCTCCACCGTGTACCCTTTTTATACAGCGGGATAACAGATGTTTTCTGCCAATTTATCTAATTTACCTCATTTTTTTCCAGTTCCTCAGACTCCATCCCTGCTCTCCCTGCCAGGACCCGTGCGGCCGGTGCGCCAGGCAGGACCTGGCAGGGAAAAGTGTGAGGTCACTGGAGGCTTCTGAGCGCTCCCGGTCTCGCCGAGCCGCTCCTTCCCGCAGTTCCCGCTCGTCCCGGGGGTTCCGAGGGGCTTCACGGCCGCGGAGCGAGCGCGGGGCCATCACGGCTCCCACCGGGGCCGCTGCCCCTCAGCCCGCCCTCACCAGCATGGCGGCTCCCGCGCCCCGGCTATGCCTGTACCCTCCCCAAGATGGCGCCCGTTGGAGCTCCAGCCGTGGCCTCCCCAAGATGTCGCCCCATGTCGTGGCTATGGCGGTGACCTTCCCAAGATGGCGGCCCGGAGGGGTACGGTCGCACCGGACCGCGCCGGAAGTGGCGACGGCGCCGTTCCCGGCCCATGATGGCGGAGGTGGGCGCGAGTGGCCCCCGGCTGGCGGAGTTGCTGGCGTTGGGACGGCGGCTCTGGGACGAGCTGGAGGCCAGCACCGAGCCCTCCTCGGGAGCCCCGGCCGTGCAGGACAAGGTGCGGCAGGGGCTGGACGCGCTGCAGCGGGCGGCGGTCATGGTGGCGCAGCTGGAGCTGTTCAGGTGAGCGGAGGGGACGCGTCTGAGGGGACAGGGGAGGGTCCCCGGGTAGGGCAGAGGTGGGGCGGGAGCGGGATAGAATCACTGAGGTTGGACAAGATTCCGAGACCATCGAGTCCAACCTGTGATCGATGCCCACCTTGTCACCCAGCCCGGAGCACTGAGTGCCACGTTTGGGCGTTCCTTGGATACTCCAGGGGTGGAGACTCCAGCACCTCCCTGGGCAGCCCCTTCCAATGCGTGACCGCCCTTTCCATGGAGAAATTCCTGCTGATGTCCAACCTGAGCCCACCCTGGCACAGCCTGAGGCCGTTCCCTCTCCTCCTGTCCCTGTTCCCTGGGAGCAGAGCCCGATCCCCCGGCTGTCCCCTCCTGTCAGGAGCTGTGCAGAGCCAGAAGGTCCCTCCTGAGCCTCCTTTTCTCTGAGCCCCTTTCCCATCTCCCTCAGCCGCCTCTCACAGGATGACTCTACCCCCTTTCCCATCTCCATTCCGTTCCCTGACTCCCTGCTCTCTCCCTGGCAGCGAGAACGAGGAGCTGGAGGAAGTGGCCTCAGCCGACCTGAAGTACATGCTGCTGCCGGCGCTGCTGGGAGCCCTGACGCTGAAGCAGGTGGACCTGAGCAGGAGAAGGGAGCACCTGGAGAGTGCCCGGGAGCACTTCCTGCGCTTCCTCAAGCTCTGCAGGAACTACGGGCTGGGATCTTTCCAGCTGCCCCCCGGTGTCTCCGGCGAGGAGGAAACCGGGAGCCCCTCGGCCCCCAGGGACCCCGCCCAGCCCAACCTGGTGGCCATGGCCGTGAGCAGGACAGCCAAAATTGAAAGGTGCAGCTTTGGGACTCACTCTGGGAGGAGCAGGAGCCTGAGGCAGTGCAGGGTTGGACAGGGAAGAGCTTCCCTGGGCGTTGGAATAATTTGACCATAAAATGCTCATTTTAAGAGATGCAGCTCGCTGTTTAATGGGTAGGGCTAGGGAGGGGCATTTGTGTCTCCAGTTTCTGGTCTCTGAGGAAAAACTGCTCAAAAACTTAAAATAAGCTCTTTAATCTTTCATAATTAATCTTACAGTTAGTTCTTTAATCACTGCTGGCAGCATAAAGACTTCCAAACTGGAAGTTTCCTACCAGTGGGTTCATTAGAGCTTGAAAAAAAGGTGGTTGGTGCTTTTGGTGCTCTGGTTGGGATTTTGGCCACTGTATTTATCATTGTGGCAGAGCTGGAAGGTCCAAACTGGGCTGGGCTTGCTTAAATTGTGTAGAAAAGCATAGAAAAATATGATTTATATTCTAATTGGGAAGGGTTTTTTTTTTAAAATTACTCTTTCATGCTCCTTGTTCTCTCAGCTCCCAAAGGTTGGCTCTTACTGTTCATTCTTCAGATGACAGTAACGCAGGGAAGGAGGACACAAGGATTTAGTTTGGAAGTTTTTTATAGGAGTAGTTTCCCCTTTAATAACTAAATCCTGAAAAAGTAAAGATAAATTTACCCTGGAAGTTTATTATATAGGGAGTTCTTCCCTTTAATAACTAATTCCTGAATAGGTCAAAAAGTCCAAAAAGCCAAAATTACATTTTAAAAAACACCCACATGCACAAAACCAACCTGAGAAGTTGGAAAAGCATTTTATTCTGTTAGTGTGACACAGAATCAACTCAAACCAGCCATTCCATTGATTTTCTCAGTCCTGCTTTCTCCAGGAGACTGATGTTTCCAGTCTCACCTAATTTTACCAGGACAGCTTCAATTTCCAAGGATTCCTCAGTATTTAGGAGAAGAATAAAATCATTGAGGTCTCTCTGAATTAAGTGTAATTTTACAGCTACTTTTAACAGACAGGAGAGGCTAAAATTCCAACAGGAACCAGCACAACTTCCATGAAATTTGGTTGGACCTCTTACAAAGGGTGGCAACGATCCCAGGGCTGGAGAAAAATTATTCCATGATCTGATTTTGCTGTGTTTGAGCCAGATACAAACAGAAGAAAGAGCTGGAGAACAAATTGGCCTCCATGAGCAGCTTTGTGGAGAGCGGGACAGCGGATGAGGATCAGATCCGGGAATTTTACATCCTCCAGATCCAGAAATGGATCGGCACCAGCCTGGAGGAGATTGAGAGCATCGACCAGGAGCTGGTGATCCTGAGGAGCAGGGATGCAGCCAGGCAGGTGAGGGAGCTCTCCTGGGATCCAGGTGCTGTGGGATGGGCATGAGGGGATGAGTCCCAGAGGAATTCAGTGGCAGAGTTTTATTCAGTGACTTCCCAGTTGGAATTGAGCCCAATCACAGCATGAGCTGATGGGCTTTTCTCCATTCTGAATTCTGAGTTTTGGATTGGACTCTGCTGCTACACCTTCCCCACAGTCCCAGCCTGTGGAATGCTGGAGCTTGGAATACGGGAGCTGAACTGGGCTATGCAAGGCTTTTCTGCAGATCCCTATTTCTGAAGAACAATTGGATTTGGAAATTAAAATAAGACCCTTGTGCCTCCACTCCTGGTCTGCAGCGTGTCCAGGTGTTATCAGCCCATTTGGAATGACAGAACATTCCCACAGCCCTGCAATCCCCGTGCAGAACATTGTGTCCAGGATTTCTGTGACCTGGCATGTCTGCTGGGAACAGCAGCTCCTGATGTGCTGGCACAGCCTCCTGGCAGGGCTGGTTTGGGGGGGTAATTTTTTGGCACTGCAGGACTCAGATCCTCTGAGGTGATCTGGAGATGCCATGGAATGATGGGTTCAGAATGTTCCACTGGAACAATAAACATTTCCTGCTCTGCTCTGAGCTCAGCCCTGGCAGCTCTGCTTTGACCCCAGCAGGTGGCCCAGAGGCACAGGAAGTGATTGCACAGCTGCAATTCCTGATTTAAACCAAATTCAGGCCTGGATTCTCCATCCTGAGGGGTTGCTCTGACAGCTGAGGTGTTTCTCCTCTACAAGACCTTTAATAACTTCAGGATGGGAAGCAGAGGGGGAATTCTCATCCCCTCAGTGCCTTGGTGACTGTTGTTTGCATCCCCAGGCTTCAGCAGGTCCCCGTGGCCCTTCCCGGTCAGCCAGAATTCTGATGAAACCCTTCATCCTCACCCGGGATGCTGCTCAGGCCAGGTATGGATTGGGATGATCCAACCACACTTTGGGACAGTGCTCTCATGTCAAGCCTAAAATACTGCACCAAGTGCAGAAATCCAGGTGGTGTCTTCATGTCTGCGCTTGAGTTTGTGGCACCCTGAAATCTGTGCAGGAATTTTGGCACCTTAAGGACAGAATGGGATAGAAAGCAGATTTCCTGTCATGCTTGGGGCATGATTTATGCTGAGCTTTCCATGTATCTGTTTCAGTTCCCAGGGGTGTCCTGGGGCCACCTTCCCCTATCCCAGGTTACTCCAGGCCCTGTCCAACCTGGCCTTGGGCACTTCCAGGGATCCAGGGGCAGCCACATCTTCTCTGGGCACCCTGTGCCAGGGCCTCACAGTTCTCACAGGGGAGAATTCCTTCCCAATATCCCATCTAACCCTGCCCTCTGGCAGTGGGAAGCCATTCCCTGTGTCCTGCCACTCCAGGCCCTCTCCATCTTTCCCTTGGGCACAGGAGGGCCACAGTTGGGTCACCCCAAAGTCTTCCTGAAGCCTTCCTTGTGACATCCTTATATCCTTAGCACAGATTGGATCATGGAATAGCCCTGTGCCTCTTGTCTGTGTTCCTGCTCATTCCAGGGGATGTCATTGCCTGGTTTTGGCTGGTTTTGTCCCACTGCAGGGTGTTTGGAGCTGGCTATCCCGGGCTGCCCACCATGACTGTGGATGACTGGTACGAGCAGCGCCGGAGACAGGGAGTCGTGTCCTCCACACACAGGGTTCCAGGTATGGAACAGAGATGGGAGCAGGGGATTTGGGAAGCCTCTTGAGAGGATGGGTGAACAGGGATGTGTGCAGGGTATGGAACACCCCCGACTATGGAAGAATCCAAGTTTTATTAGGAAAACAACTGGGTGAGACTATGCTTGGCCTGTCCAAGGCCAGCTTGGACAGGGCTTGGAACAACCTGGGATAGCAGGAGGTGTCCCTAGTGGCACTGGATGGGTTTGAAGATCCCTTCCAACCCAGCCCATTCTAAGGTTCCCACTCCTGCTGTCTGGCAAGCCCAGCTCCCAGCAGGGCTTTGGAGAACCTGGATCTCCTCCCTGTCCCTCCCCTCCAGCAGGTGCAAGTGATGAGGAGTTACAGAAGCAGCAGCAGGAGACAGAGGAGGAGGAGGATGATGAGGAAGCTCTTCAGAAAGCTCGGGACTGGGACGACTGGAAGGACACACACCCCCGGGGCTACGGCAACAGGCACAACATGGGCTGATGCTCTGGCTGCCAGCAGGGCCTGGAGATCCTGGGAGAACAACCTGGAGAGGGAGGCGGGAATACAGTGTACATAGGTGGAGCATCGGGGAATTCCCTGGATGGACAGGATGGCAGGAGGACATGTGACCCCTTCGCATTCCATGTCAGACTGGGGGCACTGGTCGTGCTGGGGGGTGCCCCAGAGCTCTGAGGGACAGTTCCATGTGGGTCAGGCTCCCTGTGTGTGCCCTTCCAAGCAGAGCTCCAAGGGGAGCTCCATGGATTTGGAAACTGCTCTTTGTATTGTGGGTGGATATATTTATTTTTTTTTCCCTCTCTATTTTAAGCAAAATAAATTCTCTTTGTGCTGCCTGGTTCTTGCTGTGAAATTCTCTTGCTCTTCATCCCAAGTTTTTCCAGGGGGTGAACCCCAGACACTCTCATGGAGCCCACAGGGGACAGAACTGGGACAAATGGTGCCATATTCCAAGACAAAGTAGTCAGTGTGCTTTGAAACTCCAGAACAATCCCTGAAACAGGGAAAACTCTGAATCCCCCTGACACCATTCCTGAATGAGGGAGGACACATCTGCCACTGAGCTGGCACAGCAGATGTGTGCAGGAAGGTGAGGAGTCACAGCTGGAAGCTCTGGAAGTGCCCAGTGTGGGCTGGCAGCTGTGGAGAGATTTGTTCCAAACCTGGTAAAATACTGGGATGGAAAAGCAAAGCATAGCTGGCACTTTGTGTCACCTGGAGTAGTGTCACCTGCACAATGCTTCCTTTCCCTGGGACAGTGGGATTCTGTAGAAATTTGGTGGTTTTCCTTCCTAATAGCAGGATTTGGGCACAGCTGGGCTGCAGGAGTTGAGGTGTTTTCCATGCAGCAATCCCTGTCCTCAGAATTGATCCGCACCCAGGAAGCCTGCAGGGACTGTGGTCCTTTTCTCCCAGGTACTGAGTCCCTACAATTCACAGGAGGGGTTTATGGGTTCCAGATCTCCCAGGAACGTTTCCTCCTTTCCCACCACAATCCTGCAGGTGTGTTTATCCCTTTCCTACACTGATGTTAGCCTAGGAGTGTCTCTGGACAGCTGGATCCTGAGGAGTAGCTTCAGGGATTTATTCCCTGCGGATTCTCTCTGTTCTTGGGCTGTTGGCCTGAGGCCCCACTTCAGTGCTGACTCCCTGCTGCTCCTATTTCCCTTTCTTGTTATTTTTCCCCTCAAACCTCTCCTGACAGCGCTCCAGGCATCCTGGGCAGAAGGCAGGGTGCCCATCCCCAGGCTGGGAGTGGCAGGAATGGTCTGGTGGCCGTGGAGCTTCAGGATGATATTTTTGGGTGGCTCTGAGGCTGTCACATGGCAGTGTTTGTGACATTCCCCCAGCATGGACGGTGCCATTCCCAGGGGAATGCAGCAGAACCATTCCCAGAGGAATTCAGCCCCCACCAGCACCGGCAGCCAAGACTTTCCTAGGAGCAGCAACCTCCCAGCATGGCCACAGCTCCTCACACTCTGTGTGACCCTTCCAGGGATCACCAGTTCCCCTCCATGCTCCTAATCCCAGCTGGAGCAGGTCCCCTCCCCTCAGCAGGGCTGGTGTCCCTCTGGTCACCTGGTTAAAGCCTGTGGTCACACAGCCCAGCGCCCTCTGATTGCCAAACTCACCTTTCCACCCTCGGCACCACGGGGCTCCTGCCACCATGAAAACCATCATAGCAGCCTGCTCCCAGAATCTCAGTGGTAAGAGATTCCCAAAATGGGTTGGGATGGTTCCTGGTTCTCCAGCAATGCGAGGAGCTGGTGGTTGTCACTGTTGTCTGCTTGCTTGGGAGCGCTGAGGGGAAAGGGGGTGTTGGGAGCAACGTGAGGATAACTCCACAGTAAAACACACAGCTGCTCCACAGGGATTGAATTTTGGATGACATTTGGGAATGCTACACACAAGATATTCCTGCAAATTCCAAATGTTGGATTTGCAGAGGCTCCTGTTGCTGTGGATGGGGCCGACAGCACAGCCCTAGGGGGTTCTCTGTGTCTGTGGTGTGGATATCAATGGGGATTTTGGAATAGGAGCTAGGAAAATGATGTTAAAAAGCAACTGTTCAGTGGGCAGAAGTTTGCTGGGAGGAGCTCTGTGTCTTCCTTGGGAAAAAGAAGGTTCTGGGTTCTGCAGGTGGTTGGGATTTTGGGGATGTGTGGTGGGTCGAAAGGATCACTCAGAGCCCAGCATGCTGCATGGGAGAAAAGGACAAAAATTCCCTAATGGAAAAATCCCCCATGGGCCAGAGATGGCTCCAGTGTTCAATTTATTCCACTTGTCCCATTCCTGTTAGGATTGAGCTGAAAGAACTGAATCTCCACCAGCTTCCTGAACCAGGGGTTGGTGGTTCTGCTCTGACCTGGGGGCTCCTGGCCTGGGGAGCCACAGGCTGCTCCTGTGGATCCCTGATCATCTCTCTGCCCAACATGCAGATTTTGTCAAGAAAATAAGGCTTTTGTGACACTGGGGTGGCTCTCTGGGGTGGTCTCAGTGTGGGGACCTTTGGCCAGGAGCTGGCATGCCCATTTTGGGGAGCAGGGATGGGGCCAGGCTTGGAGTTTGGATCCTGGCTCCCAGCCCGGGGAAGTTAATGGTTCACCAAGATCGGCTGGAGGGAAGGGGTGGCAGGGGGAGTGGAGTGGCAGCACTGCCAGCGGCGTGTCGCTGTGGGGACAGAGCGGGACTGCCACCCCCGGCCACCCTGGCTCAGCCTTGCTGCTGGCCTTGGCATTTGCTGGGGGTGGTGCCGCTCTGCTGTGCCGGCTGAGAAATCCCCAAATCCCCCGTGAGCCTGAGTATGCCAAGGCGGGCACGAGAACGGTCCTGGCCCTTCGGAAATGGACGTGGAGCAGGGATGTGCCACTGGTGCACTGGGCTTTTGGGCTTGACAGTGCCCAGGAGCTTCCTGCTCCTGGGACAGCCCTGATTTCCCAGGGCCACCTCCTGGCATGGTCCAGAGCTTCCTGAGGATGAGCATCCTTCATTCCACTCCCCACATCCCATCCCTCCCCACCAGCTGCTCATTCTTCCCATCCCACCTCCTGCCGGTGCCCCTGGGTGTCCCCCGGCAGCTCGGAGCCGTGCTGTTTTGGGCGTGGGCCGTGTTCCCCTCTCCGTGTCCCCTTCTCCGTGTCCCGCTCTCCGCAGGCAGCCGGGCCAGCATCCAGACTGCCCTGAGGACGCTGCTGGCCGTGCCCTGGCCCTCGCAGCGCGACGTTCGCTCCGCGCTCCAGCTCCTGGCCGTGCTGCAGTGGGTGCTCAGCTTCCTGCTGCTGGGTGAGTGAGCAGGGGGGCTGTGGGGGTCCCGGGGGGGGCCACACACCCGCTCACCCCCTGCCCGGCTCCCGCAGGAACCGTCAGCCTCCTGCTCCTCACCTACCTGCTGTTCACCAGCCTCTGGCTCATCCCCGTGCTCTACCTGGCCTGGATCATCTTCGACTGGGACACGCCGGAGAAAGGTGTGGTGGCCGTGTCCCCGCTTCCTCCGGCTTTGCAGCAGAATGGGGGTGGGCTCCCCCTTTCCCCAGGTTCCTCCCAGAATATGGGGAGCACCCTGCTCCTTCCCTCCACTCCCCCATCACCAGCACCACGATGGGAGGAGGGATGCAGAGGCTCCTCGGGGAGCGATTCCCTCGGATCCTGCTGCCCACTGGGCTGGGCTGGGGTTCAAAGCCGGCTTTGCAGGTGGCAGGAGGCTGCCGTGCCTGCGGCGATGGACGGTATGGAAGCACTTTCGGGATTATTTCCCGGTGAAGGTACGGCTCCAGGACGGGGTGCGACAACCCAAAAGGAGGTGTCACCGTCAGGTTCCCGTGACTCCTTTTGTCCCCGCAGCTGGTGAAGACACACGACCTGTCCCCCCGCCACAACTACATCATCGGCTCGCACCCCCACGGCATCCTCTGCGTGGGCGCCTTCTGCAACTTCATCACGGGCTCCACGGGCTTCGAGGAGCTCTTCCCGGGCATCCGCTCCTTCCTCACCACGCTGGCCGGAAACTTCCGCCTGCCCGTGTTTCGGGAGTACCTGATGAGCGGGGGTGAGCGGTGCCTGCCCTGCCCGGCTCGGGAGGGCCCTGATCCCCCTAAGGGATGGTGCTCCCGGGAAGAGGCAGGGCAGGGATGCTGCTCTGCTTGCGTTGTGCCTGAGCCACAGCTTCACCTCGCACCTTATCTGCACCTTGCCTGAGCTGCACCTTCACCTTGCTCGCACCCTGCCCGTTGCTTGCCTACACCCTGTCTGTACAGCTCCTACACCCTGCCCGTTCCTACACCCTGTACAGCTCCTGCACCCTGTCTGTACCGCTCCTACACCCTGTCTGTACCGCTCCTACACCCTGTCTGTACCGCTCCTACCCCCTGTCTGTACCGCTCCTACACCCTGTCTGTACCGCTCCTACACCCTGTCTGTACCGCTCCTACACCCTGTCTGTACCGCTCCTACCCCCTGTCTGTACCGCTCCTACACCGTCTGTACCGCTCCTACACCCTGTACCTCTCCTACCCCCTGTCTGTACCGCTCCTGCACCCTGCCCGCTCCTTGCCTGCCCCTTGCCTGTACCCTCTGCCCTCACTGCCCCCAGCCCACCCTCCTCGCTCCCTCCCCGCTCCTCTCCCACCTCCTGCCCGCTCCCCTCCCGCAGCAGAGGGAGCCCTTGCACTGTCCCTGCCCTGGTCCCACCAGGTGCCATCGCTCCCGGGGACCCTCTGCGGTCCCTGTCGGGTGCCCGGGCACTGCAGCGCCACATCCCCGGTGCTCCGTCCCGCCGCAGGGCTGTTCCCGGTGACCCGCCGAGCCATCGGGTACCTGCTGTCCCAGAAGGGCACCGGCAACGCGGTGGCCATCGTCATCGGCGGCGCGGCGGAGTCGCTGTCCTGCCGGCCCGGTGTCACCACGCTCATTCTCAAGAATCGCAAAGGCTTCGTCCGCATGGCCCTGCGGCACGGGTGGGTCACGGCTGGGTCGGCAGCACTGCCACCCCCGCGGGCCCCGGCGGTCCCCAGCGCCCCGTCACCACCCACCGTGTCCCCTCCTCAGGGCCTTTCTCGTCCCCTCCTTCTCCTTTGGGGAGAACGACCTCTTCCGCCAGGTGGTCTTTGAGGAGGGCAGCTGGATGAGGAGCATCCAGCGGCGCTTCCAGAAGATGATGGGCTTCGCTCCCTGCCTCTTCTACGGCCGCGGCCTCACCTCCTGCCGCTCCCGCGGCTTCCTGCCCTACGCCAGACCCATCATCACCGTGGGTGAGCAGAGGGGCTGGGGGTCGCCAGGGGGGTAAGGGGACACTCCTGGGCTGTGTCCCCAGCGAGCCCAGCGCGTTACCAGCACCCTGACCCCGTCCCCTGCCCGCAGTGGGGGAGCCGGTGGCCGTGCCCAAGGTGGAGAACCCTAGCCGGGAGCTGGTGGACCGGTACCACGAGCTCTACATCTGTGCCCTGCTCAAGCTCTTCAATGAGAACAAGACCAAGTATGGGATGTCCGAGTCAGACGAGCTGCACATCCTCTGAGTGCCACCGGCACCGGCCCCGTCCTGGCTCATGAGGGCTCTTGCAGGGGGAATTCCAGCCAGCCTGGCATGGGGGACATACGGGGGACAGTCCCCACTCTGGCCTTCTGTTCCTCCGACCTGAGGGGGAGGAGAGGGGGAAGCGAGGGGAAGATTGGGAAAGGCTCCCCCTTGCGAGGGCTCTGGAGGGGCTGTGGGAGACACAGCTGTCCCCTGCAAGGGGCTGGTGTGGGGCTGGGGCCACCAACGGGCACGGTCCCCCTGGGATAACCAGGTCACCACAAGCTGAGGGAGGGATGTCATGGGAACGAGGGATTGACATGGGGTTTTTGGGGTGGCATCCCGATGACAAGTGGGACCAGCCTGGGGGGACAGCCCACCCTGGGGTGGAAGGGGGATACTCCTGGACTTGGCCACCTGTGGGTGTGGCCTGAGCCAGGACCATGTGGCCCCAGATGAGCCTTTCCTGCCATGTCCACACCCAATACAGATTTCCAACCTCCCAACGCCTGTCTGTGTGTGTTCCGGAGGTTGGGATTGGCAGCACTGTGGCGGTACCCCTGCCCTGCCCATGTGAGTACCCTTGTCAGCCAGTGTCACCACCCCCCCAGGCAGTCCCATCTCCAGCTGGGGCAGGGCCCTTGCACCACTCAGGTGCAGCCAGGCAGCTCCCAGGTGCACCTGGGCCACACTGGATAAGATGGGAGGTGAGGGGCAGCTCTTACTGGTTTAAGTGGCCTCAGGAGGGAGGTCTCCTGCTCCCGGCTCAGTGGTGAGTGAGGGTCTGTCTGGGTAGGACAGGGATATGGGGCTGGGATGAGCCATCCCTGGGGCCCTCTCCTTCCCCTGGGCAGCTCCTGTGGGACTTGGCTGTGCGTGCCTGGTGCAGTGGCTGGCGTGTGACAACCCAGTGATGCTCTGGGTGCCCCTTTCTTAGGCAGGACTTGCAAGAAGTGATGGGGACAGCCCCTCCCGGGGCTCTTGGAGTGGGGACAGCCCTGTCCCTGTCCCATCCCTGCCAGGCTGGTGTGGGAGAGTCAACAGCACTGATAGCAATCTCAGAGCACTGCTCTGCGCAGGCACTTGGTCAAACAAAAGGGCTGGGTAAACATTTGAGGAGCAAACACCCACAAAGGGAAAATCCCAAGAACCTTCCTGTCACCACGGGAGCTCCGGCTCGTCCCTCCAGGCCTGCCCCAGTGGATTTTCTCTGGGGTGAGAGTGATTGTCTTGTCCTTCTTCCTTATGCTGCAGGGAGAAACAGGCCTGCGTGTAGAGAGGAGGAGGGGCTTTATTGGGGGTTGTGGGCAGCAAGTGCCCCAGGCCATGTCAGTCCCCCTCTGCCAAGGCCAGCAGTGTGATAGGGACATCTCTAAGAACCCACCCAGCGTGGGCTCTGTCCCCAGGTTCAGTCTGGTCCCCGCATGTCACCACTGAGCCATCTGGAAGAGCTGTGCCCAGGGAGGCACCAGTGTCCCTTCTCTTTAGTGACTTGTCAGCCCCATGTGTCCGCAGGAGTGCCAGGGATGGAACACCAGCCTGCTGCCCCAAAAGAGCCTCCTCAGTGTCCTTCCCATTCCCATGAGTGCCCCGTGGCTCTCCTGCCCTGACCAGCACCAGCACCCTCCTCCCATGGCCCCCCAGGGCAGGGCTGGGACAAACCTGTGGACTCCAGCCCTCAGCCCTGAAGGGCTGGGCAGGGACAGCTCAGCTCTGGGGACTTGAGAGTGCCCACAGGGAGCCCCGAGGGGCTGCAGCTCCTGGAGTCCTGGGCTGAGGCTCCGGAACGCCCTCAGCACCTGCCTCCGCTGCGTGCGGTCCCGGTGCCTCGGGTGGCGCTGGCCGTGTGGCTGCCATCTGTGCCATTGTCTGTGAAGGGTGACACCAGGGCCAGGTCCAGCGTGGGCATGGGCCGGAGGCGCTGGGCGGCCCTGCGGCGCAGCCAGCCCCGGTACTTGTCCCCAGCCATGAAGTACAGGATGGGATCGAGGCAGCTGTTGATGCTGGCCAGGGGCCGCGTGATCTTGTAGGTGAAGTTGATGATGTTGAGGGTCCGGCAGTCGGCCTGGAAGTAGCGGGAGGTGTAGTAGAGGGTGCGGGTGATGTGGAAGGGCACGAAGCAGATGGCAAAGACTGCAAGCACCACAATGATCATCTTGATGGAGCGCCTCTTGTAGGAGGGCATCCGGAGGCCGGGGCTGGAGAAGCTGGACTTGCAGAGCCGCTTGGCCATCAGGCAGTAGCACACGACGATGACCAGGAAGGGCACCCCGAAGAGCAGGGCCATGATGGAGGAGCTGTAGTGCACGTAGTGGTCGAAATCCTCAGGCTTGGTGGTGTCGTGGCACAGGGTGATGTTGCCCTTGGAGCTGGTGGTGACGAAGATGAGGTTGGGGATGAGGCAGATGGTGACCACGAGCCAGGCGGCCACGCAGATGATGCGGGCGTGCTTGGTCTTGACCCACTTGAGGGAGCGGATGGGGTGGCAGATGCCCATGTAGCGGTGCACGCTGATGCACGTGAGGAAGAGGATGCTGCTGTAGAGGTTGGCGTAGAAGAGGAAGCGCACGAACTTGCAGAGCCCCGTCCCAAAGGGCCAATTGTTGCGGTCGGCGTAATAATAGACCAGGGTGGGCAGAGACAGGACGTAGAGCGTGTCCGAGAGGGCCAGGTTGACCATGTAGGTGGTGGTGGCGTTCCAGGGCCTCATCCTGGAGATGAACATCCACAGGGCCCAGGAGTTGAGGGGCAGTCCCACCACAAAGACGATGCCGTAGGAGACGGGCAGCAGGATGAACTTGAACTCTTCGTCGAAGACACACTTTGCCTCAGGTGCTTCTGTGGTGTTCCCTCCTGGCCAGGGAGCGGGCGTCAGTGTCCACAGGGAAACTGGGAACATCCTCACTGGAGTGGCCATGTTGTGCCAGCCAGACCTAGGGAGCAGTTCATAAAAGCACACTAGTCACTGATCCTGACCATTGTCAGGCACGAAGCGTGGAAGGGAGCCAAAGCTGCCAGATTTTCTCCCCCTCCAGAAGCTCCGGCCACTTTGATGGTTCTCTGGTTTTTCTCAGCTCGCGCGTTCGGGCCTGTGGGGAGCCGGGGGTAGCCTCCCTTCCGCAGCCCCTGCACTGACACCCATTAATCACCCATTAATTACCCATTAATCACCCCTTTGAGCCGGCACAGTGATGGCAGGGGACAGAGCCCCACATCGGGGACAGAGCCCCACGGCCTCCAAACAACGAGACCTTGATGAGCGCCAGCAGCCCCCGGCCGGGGCCAGAGCAGCCTCTTGGAAGCTGCCTCAGCCTAATTGGCACCATCCTGACAATTCTGCTGCTCCCAGAGGGCTCCTTGGGAGAAGAAAGTTGGGAGGAGAAGAAAGGCTCGTCTAGGGGAGTGGTGTGGCCCAGAGAAATCCTGGGGAGGCTGTTACAGCAGCCTTTGGGAGAGAGTGTCCCCGGACAGCGAGGAGCCACTGGCTGCCGGGTGTTGTCTGTAGGGAAGGGATGAGCTAAGCCCTGCGGAGAGGAACTGCCAGAGCCAAGTCCCAGCTCAAGTTCACAAGGCGGGCAGGACGTTCCCTCCTGTGCCGTGCTAGGATCAAAGGCTGGGATCTGTGGGAAGTTGGCATGAGGACAAACTGTCAAAGTTCAGAACTCTTGTCTCGAGGGAAAAGGAAGGGTCTGCCACCACTGTGGTGTCCAGCAAGGGACCAGTGAGGGTCACCCTCCACCATACCTGGTGAAATGATTCCTCCAAAGGAGGATGGATGACTGGATAAGTAACCTGGGAGCAGGAGCTGCTGTGCTGCTGGTGGAGATGAGGGTGTAGCCAAAGCCATGTTTGATGAAGGGAATGCGGGAACATCTCCAATTCCTTTTGTCCAGAGCTCACCCCGGAGGTGATGGGCACCAGGACAGGGGAGGACCTGGGGCTCAGGGAGGAACATTAGCTGGAGCTGGTGCTACAAGGTGGAAGGACACATCCTCTCGGCCTTCTTCATCCCTCATCCCTCATCATCCCTGTCCTGTTTCCCTTTGCCCTGAGGATGTGCAGGCTTCTCCCAGCAGGAATATCTCATAGGGTGTATCTGTGGGATCATCCCTGCCACGCCCTGCCTGGAGAGACACCTGAGGTTGACAGAGATGCCCATAAATGACTCACAGGCAGATGGGACAGTGGGGGCCCCTCCAGCCGTGCTCCCAGGGCTCTGTTTGAGTTGCGGGCTGAGCTCCGGGCCCACATCCAACACCCAGTGGCTCCTGGCCCGCCACAGCTCCCGCCTTTATTGCAGAGATGAGTTCAGAGAGCAACAGGCAGATCCTGATCAAACATTAACAGTGGGGAGAACTTGGATTGTTTTCCCAGAACCAGGAGGGAAATCAGGTGATAGGAAAGCCTGAGCCTGCGAGCGAGGTGCCAGTGGTGGTCCTGGCCCAGCAGCCACGTGTCCCCAAGCTGCTGAGGACATGAGGGACCAGGAGATTCAGTTTCCTCTTCCAAACTCCGAGTGTGAAGGAGCACAAAGCCCTGAGCCTAGAGCAGAGCTGCCGCAGGTTCACTGTCCAAAATCAGTGCGCATGACACAGGTCACCAACCAATTAAGATATGGGAAAGACAGTAAATAAAAGTTAATAATCAAGTGTGAAACATGAATAAGGAAAAATCCTGAGCAGCTGTGGACTGCTCAGAGGAGAGCACAGGCACCTGGCTTCTGGCAGCTGATACAGCCTGAGCACAGTCAGCAGTGGGATTTAACCATTCCCAAGCACATTCCTTTGAGGATAACCACCGAAATATAGAAATGCAGAAGATGACATTTGGAAAGTTATATTTTAACAGGATTCTTGCTTCCTCAGCATCATCATGACCAAAATCAGTGGTTGAAATTACTGAATCACATCAGTCTAGCCTGAGGACACATCACCACCAGCCCCACTCCTATTCCTTGCTGACATTCCTAGCAAAACTATCATTGGCCGTGGGCTTTTGAGGAGAGATTGAGGTGTGAGCCAGGAGCTGGCACTGATTGTTGGAGCAGGGAGATGGAAGGGGCTGCAGGGAAAAGACTTGGAGCAGGGAGATGGAAGGGGCTGCAGGGAAAGGATGTGGAGCAGGGAGATGGAAGGGGCTGCAGGAAGAGGTGATGCTCTTGTTCTGCCCGTTTTGAGGATGTACAAGGAATGCTGCAGAATCCCTTGCCCATGGCAGGCACATCCCCCAGGGATGGGTGCCTTTGGAATGGCCTCTGGTTTTCTCTAGGAAGCAACAAGGGGCCCTGAAAAATGCAGCAATAGCCATGGGCCAGTGGTAAGGGGCAGGGGACACACGTTGAAGGCACGTGATGTTCTTGGCCACCAGATTGGCAGCTTTTCCCTGGCTCCTGGTCCTGCAGAGGTGCCCAAGCCAGAACCGTCCTTTGGCCCTGCTGACAGCACCAATCCTGGTGGGATCTGAGGGTTCCCCCAGCCCTGGAGATTCATGGAGGTGTTGGAAAGGCTCCAGTAAAATGAAGGAGTGGGACAACACCAAAGCAGATTCTGCTCTGGAGCCAAATGCCTGCTGGTGAGACAGGATGGGAATCATGGTGTTGGGATCATGGAGCAGTAGGCAGGAGCGTGGAGAGGGGAGGTGAGAGCAGATTTTGGAGCAGCTGCCAAGGGATGGGTGAGCCTGGGACTGGCTGCTGCTGGAACATGGGAAAAACAGGGCTTTTCTGCTTGCCAAAGCCCTTGGAAATTGCAAAACAAGGAGAATTATGCAAAACATCCTGCAGAAGGACCCTTGTCCCTAATCCCCACGTGGCTGGTGCAGCCAAAGCCCCGGCACAAGGGGATGTGACCTAATTCCAATCCTTCCCTTCGCCTGGAAGAGCAGCCAAGGCATGCTCTGCCAGGACACCTCCCCAGGGACACAAGTGGGGCTGGGTGTTTCCCTTGCTGTCCACCCCATCCCCTGCCCCGAGGTGACCCTGGGCAGGGTGGGATGAGGGTTCCCTTCCACCCTTGCTGGGCTGTCCCTGTCCCTCACCTCGTTGGGAACAGGCAGGAGCCCAGAGTGTCAGGCTGAGCCACGGCAGCAGCAGAGCAGCTTCAACCCACGAGGAGATGGAGATTTGGGGGATGGAGAGGAGGATGAAGGAAAGGAGGATGAAGGAGAGGAGGATGAAGGAGAGGAGGGGGCCACACTGGGAAGCATGAAGGCCTCAGTGACAGAGGAGGAGGTGGCATGTTAGAGAGGAGGATGTCCAGAGGGAACTGGGGTGGAGGAGGGACAGTGAGAAGTGGCTGGACCCCACCCTGCACCCATCCAGCCCTGCGGATCCCACCTCTGCCCCTCACCCCGGAGCCCAGCTGGGACTGTGTGACCATGGCAGGGCTGTCCCAGCTGTCACCAAACAGGGGTTGCCCCAGCTCACCTGCACACCTGGGAGCTCTCAGGAGTGGGGCCCCCACGGGGAGAGCCTGTTCCCCTCGCGGGACGGGGCCATGCCGGGGGGCTGCGGGCGGCGCTGGCCGTGCCCTGCCGTGCTCAGTGTGCCCGCTCCCGCTTACCGGGACCGGGAACAAAGTGCCCAGGGAAGGCAGGGCTGGAGGCGGGCGGAGGCGGAGGCAGGAGCTGCCGCAGGGCTCAGCCCCACTGAGCTCCCATCCCTCTGTTGCTCTCGCAGCCTTTGGGCCACCTGCAGCCCCCGGACATGGGGCACAGCGGCCTCTCCCATGGTGTCACAGCCCTTTCCCCAGGGGCACCATGGCCCCTCAACCACCAGGGCATAGCCCCTCACCCATGGGCACCGTGTCCCCCCACCCATAGCCACCACATCTCTCCACCCATGGGGACCATGGTCACTCAACCACCAGGTCCATAGTCCCTCACTCCTGGCTTGTGTCCCCCTGCCCATGGGGACCGCGGCCCCTCACTCAGGGGATCACAGTCCCTCAGCCACGAGGATCACAGCCCCCACCCCTGGGGCCCGTGGCCCCCCTCCCGCCCCAGGGCAGCCCCCCCTGCCCGGTGGGTGTCGGGGTCCCGCAGTTCCCCCAGCCCTGCGGGGCGATCCTGAGGACAAAGGTGGCCACTGCCACCTTGAGGCCAGCCCGGGCATCGTGTTCCCAAAACCGGGGCCGCCTCGCGTGTCGCGCAGCCGGGACACTGCGGGATCGGGGTTTTTTGGGGAACCCGCTCCCTGTGCTAGGCAGAGCAGAGCGAGGGGGTCAAGGGCTGAGACACCCGGCAGCTGCAAGGGCAGCCTCGAGGGCTGGGGTGCGCAGGGTTCCCATGGAACGGGGAAAGGTTGGGGACAACACTTTGGAACATCCAGGACACCGGGAGCCGGTGTTTTCCCCACCTGGCTCTTTTTCTCCTTGCCCTTTCGCAGAACCAGGTGCGGAAACACGCACGCGGGGCTGACACTTTATTCTGGACAGTGACAGCAAAGGGAACTAGCGCAGCGGCCTCGGGAGCTGGGCTGAAGGGAAATCCCTCCGGGAACAGCGGCTGAGCAGGAGGGAGCAGCTGCCCAGGGCACGAGGGTGCACAGGGCTGGCTGTCGCTACATCCTGGCAGGCTGCGGCTCGGCGGGCGGAGGAGGCTGAGCCTCCAGGGCCGAAGCATCGGGCGCTCCCCGCTTCCCGAGTGGTCTCGGCGCTTCCCGGCAGGGCCGCGGTGGCGGCTCCAGGACGCGGTGGCTCTGGCGCAGTCTGTCCCCGCTAAGCTGCGGTGACACCTGGTCCAGCTGAGTGGCCCCGTACAGCGAGCAGTCGCCCAGCCCCACCGTGTCCCCCGTCAGGACGGCCGACTTGGGTCTCTTGTGGTGGCCGGCTCTAGAGGGGCTGAGTGGGTGCCCACGGGAAGGGCTCGGTGGCCCACAGCGGGGCCGGCCACACCACGGCTCCTCCTCTGAGGGCAGCG